ATATCACGTTTTTGAGGCCATATGGGAGGTGGCCACCACCGCCATTTTGACCGTGTCACAGGTTCCGTCAAGACCAGACAATTCCACAAAAGGGAAGAGAGGTGGAGCTGAGGGTGGGGCTGTAAGGCTGGGATCAACTGACGACACCCGGTCGAACTAGCTACAAGCTAACCTGAAGCTAACCCTGGCTAACCCAAAGCTAAGGCGGACACCGGGCTGACCGCTGGGTAAAACCGGGTGGAACACAGAGGTCTCCGAGAGCTCCACAAGCCGGCAGCCGCACAGCAGACAAGTGCCACTGCAATCTGAGATGTGCAAAGCTGCCGAAGGGGAGAACCGGGTGGAAAGGTTTCCATCCCAGAGCTCCACAAGCCGGCAGCCCGCGCAGCAGACAGGAGCCGCGATCAGACAGAGATGCGCCGAGCTGCGGGGAGACCCAGCCGGCATTCCGCGCAGCAAACAGAAGCCGCGAAGCCAGGGGAGAAATGGGTGGAAAACATCGGTCTCCCGAGAGCTCCACAAGCCGATAGTCGGAACCCAGCTCCACCAACATGTTATATTTCAACCCATTTTCTAAAGTGCAGCATTATGTTAAATGCACTGGGTTTTACCCTATTACATTTAAATTTCATGGTTAAACAGTACATGTTAACATCTAAGCTCAGCTCGGCAGTGACCTAAAATACATAAATATAATTTTACTTACCGAAAAAAATGAAGTGGAGACTCCTTGGATGCTCTATTAGTGCAATTAATGCCACAGCAAGTCATTTTGTCCAACAATTGCACAAAAAATATCCAAAAAAGAATACACACACACAGAGACTCAAAATCCCGGAGCAGTTTCCAAGCCAGACCGAGGCTCTACTGAGGCCTTTCCACGGAGCTAGCTCTGTGGTCACGTGGGTCGGATGCTCATTAATTATACAGAATTTTAGGCTTTTAATACACTTAAACAGAAGAGTGAGAAAAAAATTTACCCCCCTCAGAGTTGTCATGAGAGTAAACTAGATCATTTAAACAAAAACATGTTTTGGTTCCAGGCTGTAAACATGTTTATTTCTGCTGTGAAATTGGTATTTTTAACATGGGAGTCAATGAGGATTTGCTCACTTCTGACACCAGCCCCCAGAGGATGTGGGTGGAACTGCAATTTTTGGTACTTCCGGGTTTGACTCAATTTTAGAGCCGCATTGTGGGGGCTTGGATCTGACGGCAGCTTTTGACACGGTTGACCACGCGATTCTACTTGATTGCTTGGAATGATGGGTTGGGATCAAAGGGTCTGCTCTGGATTGGTTTAGATCATATCTCCACAAGAGGACATTCTGTGTTAAACTAGGTGATGTTTTTTTCTTTTTGGGAGGGGCTGGGGGGTCCCACAGGGATCGATCCTTGGTCCTCTTTTGTTTGCCATTTATTTGCTTCCTCTGGGGTCAATCTTTCGTAAACATGGCCTAGCGTTCCATCTCTATGCTGACGATTGCCAGATTTACTCTCCATTGTGTCAAGGGAAAGGTCTCTCTAGCCAGGCCTTTGTGTCCCGTCTTAATGAGGTGAAGTCTTGGCTAATAGCCAACTATCTGTATCTGAATGAGGGAAAGACAGAGCTCATTGTTTTTCACCCCAACAGCAGGGCTGTGGGTCGTTATGTTGATCTTGGCCCTCTTTCTCCCTACTCAAAACCAGTCGTCACCAGTTTGTGGGTGAAAATTGACGCTGGACTTAAATTTGATGCTCACATCAACTCTGTGATCCGGTCCAGTTTCTTTCACCTGAGACGCCTCGCAAAAATCACGCCTATGCTGTCGACAGCCCACCTGGAGCGGGTACCCATGCTTTTGTAATTTCTAGGCTTGATTACTGCAACTCTCTATATGCAGGACTGGGTCAATCATCACTGCGTCGCCTACAGGTTGTGCAGCCAGGTTTCTGACTGGGACCAGGAAACGGGACCACATCAGTCCGGTTCTGGCCTCCCTGCACTGGCTTCTGGTCTGTTATTGTTCACACTTTAAACTCCTCTTCTTTCTTTACAATTTCTTCCAGGGTGGTGCTCCCCCCCTATCTGGCCACACTCCTGAACAGACATTCCCCATCACGCGCTCTGCGCTCCTCTGACCAACGCCTGCTCACTGTCCCTCATTCTAGGTGTCGTACTCGTGGAGACTGGGCTTTCTCAGGCTTAGCACCGTTACTATGGAACCAGTTGCCACCCTCAGTTAGGCTGTCCCCATCTCTGCCAGCCTTTAAGAGTCGCCTAAAAACCCACCTCCTCCGCTTGGCGTTCCCTGAATGTATTTGAGTTAGGCCGTCATTTATGTTGATTTTAATTCCCTGCTTTGGTCTCTTTATCTCTTGTTTTACCCATTTGTTTTCTACTTTAATGTTTTTACCTTTTTTCTCATGCCTTGGGCTTCCCGGCAGGGTCGCGGAAGGCGCTCTATAAATAAAGCTTTGATTGATTCATTGATCATTAAATTTGATGCTCACATCAACTCTGTGATGGCATGGCAGACTTTATTACATCTGACATTTTTTTTTGTCATTAGCATGTCTGTTATTTATCAGATCTTTGACAAATGCGCACCTCCATCACTGTTTAAGTCTCTCTTCATTCATCAGTCAACTCTGTCTGTGTCCTCAGCCTGACTAGGGTGCATTTAACAGCCAGCCAGCCCTCTGGGGAGATCCATGTATCTCAAAGAGTTGGTACTCATCCTATGTGTAAGTATATAATCACTTACGAGATGAAAGAATTGCTCTGTGGTAAATGTCAGGTGACCAGGTCAGGGGTCATAGGAACTGCTGACCGATCATAGCTGCAGCTCCGATGAAAGCTGCAGAATTATCCCTCCTTTGAAACATAGAGAGGGAAGACTTTCTCCTTGTCTTTTCACAGCTGATAATGTCTGTTTGACAACTGTGCCTCAGGAGTTCCCCCTGCCAATAAACTAAACAACTTACCACCTTAAAAGGGAGCAAAATATGTGACTCAAAAGATTTTATTTGAGTCAATTATTTTAAAAAGTTCAAATAAGCTCGAGACTGTCTCTTCTGACAAAAGCCACAAAAACGCTGTGATAAGTTATTTCAGTAAGTATTATATTGACCACCAGGGGGCGCAGAAGAGCCCAGTTCCACAGATAAACTCAACTGCCAGGTCCTGAAGAGTAATGCACTATCAATGAAAAAGTGTAATATATATTAGAAATGTTTCCCAAAACAATTGCTCTAAAAATATGCATGTCTAAAATCACGGATTATTTATATATTCAGCAGCAGATCAAACTGTTTCATTAGTGTCAGAAACTGGTTTACACAGAGTCCAGTCAAGTAGAGCAAATCATATTTAAATGATTACATCATGTTCAGAATTAGTAAATGTCAACTTTAATGTTTAATCAAAATCTGATTTAACAATTTTAATGGAAATATTTACTCATGAAAATCATAATGAAACAAAACACAAGTAGCTTACTGCTTACCCAAATAAAAGCATGGTTATTAGATCACAGAGTCCCTTTGATAATACGATTGCGTTCATTTATTATTTTTTTCAATGAACAGAGAAACAGACAAATGATCCAAATTTACATAATCTAACCATCAAAGGGAATATGAGTTCCCAGTTAGATCGTTCCATGAAGTATATGATTTAGTACTGAATTTCTAAGTACTTGAACGTTAGTATTTCAAAATCACGATTGTTTAATACTTAAAATTAATTAGTTAAAAAACACTGTTTAAATATTGAGTGTTTCCTATGTATATGTCCCCTTTGTTAAATAAAACTTTCATGATGACTTCACTGATATTACTAAAATAACATCAAAAATGGGTTTAAAAATAATTTAATTTTTTGAGTCAAAATACTAATTAGTTGACTAAACCTACAAAAGTTGTTCAGAAAATGGGGCCTCACTTTTGTTTGGAGTAATTTGAAAGAAACAGTATTTACAGTCTAGATGTCATGTTTCCTGAATATTTTATTAGATTAAATTAGAACTAAAACTTTAAAACAAATGTAAGCATCTAAAACATCTCGAATATATTTAGGACGAGGAGGAAACAGTGGTTCAGACGCGTATTTTGGTGTTTCTGACTAAATGTTGATCAGGTTTGCACCACTAGGAAGCGCTGCACACCCATCACCTCCACAAGACCTAAGCATGACCCCTTACGTTTGAAAACACCCGACTCTGCAGGTTTTCTGCAAAGTCACTATTGTACCATGCATTGGTAAAATGCATGCACAATTACACCTTGTCATACAGAATGCTTATAAAACGTTGTGGGACTGGAAAATGCAACATACACACACACACACACACACACACACACACACACACACACACACACACACACATATATATATATATATATATATATATATATATATATGAGAACAGAATGCTTATAAAACGTTGTGGGACTGGAAAATGCAATATATATATATATATATATATATATATATATATATATATATATATATATATATATATATATATATATATATATATATATATATATATATATATATAAAGTATGGAGAACCCTATATTTAAGTCTAACCCCCTATAGTACTGACTGGAGCCAAATTCCTTTATTGCAAAACAATCTTAGTCTAAATTAATAAACAGCATCTTTATTTAAAATCCAAATCACTCAGCCAATTCCTGTTTGACTGCTGTTGTTTAAACAAATTAAAACCCGCCTTGCCTTGTGCGTAAAACCAAAGCAACTCTCTCAGCATAAATCTCTGCAGAGCCATCATTCCAGTTTGAAAGCGAGCAGAAACACCCACAAGCTCCGTATGACGCAGCGTCACCATCCTCGGGTCGGGAAAGTCCGCATCCCAGCGCTGACACCGGAGACGCGAAATGAAAACGCTGCGCTCCGCTCGGCGCACAGCCAACAGGGTCGATGGGAAATCAGGGTGGGGGTTTTCTGTGCATTTGGGGGGAGGGTTGGACTTAAAGCAGCCAATGAGGAAGTCAGCCAAGGTGCCTACTCTGAGTCACGACACGTTGGGAGGTTATATATTCCGCCACGCACGTCGATAGGTGCATTTAAAGAGATCTGTGAGGGAGAGGGTGTCGGCCACGCAGGAGAGGAGGCACGCGACAGAACAACAACAAAAACAACGCACCGACACGACACCAGGAATCTTGTTTTGCAGCCTAGAGATGTCCCACGTACAGTTATCTAGCAGCGCGCTGGAGAGGCTGGTGGCCCGCAGGACCTTTCCCCTCCACAGGCGCACCGGCGTCTGCCGCAACCTCTTCGGCCCGGTGGATCATGACGAGCTGAGCCGGGACATGAAAGCCAAGCTGCGGGAGGTTGCCGAACGGGACCAGCAGAGATGGAACTTTAATTTTGAGGCCAACACCCCTCTGGCCGGGGATTACGAGTGGGAAGAGGTGTCCGCGGAGAAAACACCTGCGTTTTATCTGGGATCTGCGCAGCAGAGCGGCAGGGACCTGGAGCCGCCAACGCCCGTGAAGCAGCGGCCCTCCTTGGACTCCGACGTCCCGGAGACGGACGCCCCCGGGGACGTCATGGAGCGCTTAGCGGCGCCAGGGAGCAGCACCGGTCCGGCGGAGACGAACCAGGAGAACCGAGCCGACAAACTTAACTCAGGGAGTCCTAGACGGGTTCCGTGTGTCCGACGTAAGAGGACGTCCGCGGCTGACAACAACACGCACATCACAGGTAACTGACTCCTAACGCCACTGTCTGAAGGTGAACCCGAGCCCGTTATAACTCGTGCTTTATTTTCTCTCCCAGACTTTTTCGTGAAACGAAGGAGGGCTGCTGATATGATGATCTCAGGTGACACTCGCCACCTTTCCAAGTCTCCAATTCCGCTGGAACAAACTCCCAGGAAGAGGATCCGCTGAAGGTAACGGAATTAGGATTAAATGGTCTCCTTTTGATAACAACGGGCTGTGACGTCGCGTTTATTTAGTGATGTTTGCGGCTGAAGCAGAGTCAGATTGCGTCAACTGGAGCCGTGTCCGGGGGAGGGGGGCTGGGGTGGTAGTAGTAAGAGCCGGCGGGTGGGGGGAGGGGTACGTGCGTCACCGTGTGGCGGGAATAAGCGGTGCGTAAAGGGGCGACGCCTGCCGCCGCTGCCTGTTTCCTCAGAGCTGGGTCGTCGTGTTTTCGGGGAACTGACTCAGTTTTTTTGTCCCTCAGGTGCTCCCTTCTCTTAACCCTTTTGCACTACTTTCTCTGCGCATTGTGAGGATTTATCCGAGCGGAGAGGAGCGCGTTCAGAGGACGGACGGGTCCCAGACAGGTCCCGGTGTCTCCAGACGGAGCCTCCTCAGAGCCGGACCTCAGAACAGGACCGGACTCAGGACTGAGCGGTTTGGGTTTGGAGGGGAGGAACAAAACCAGTACAAATGTAGCATTGTTGCTTTCCAGCCACTCGACAGTGTTAAAATGTTTTAACATCTGTGCAATCCTACAAGTTTTCTTTAAAAGAATCTTCTACACTGGCCAAAAGTGTACAGCTTTATAGAGACGTTTATTTCTGTTCCGGGTTGTTGTTTCTGTAAATGTAATAATTTAAGTTTATTCTAACTTATAACTTATTTATGCATCTCTTTCATTTGCTAAATGCCTTGTTCGTTTTTGTTATTCACCTTTTTATTTGAAACGTGACGTTTTGCAATCGTGTAGCTTTAGTGATCACACTTGAAACTCTAGATGTCTTTGTCTCGTGTGTGTTTGTTCCTTTAAGTGCCCTGATTGTGTCTTGTAAAATGTGGGAATAAATATCTTTCTACTTTCTAAATATTTCGCTTTTCTCCTATTTTTTTAAAGCTGGTTTTACTTAAATGTACAAAAACGAAAAAGTTAGCTCTCTCTACTGTGGCCTCAGTTTTGTTAAAAGTACAAAACCTCAGAAGTACGGCTGTGTGTGTGTGTTTGTAGAAGCAGATTCAAGGTGCCTTCATGGCAGCTGTGGGATATATAGGTTTAAAGGCCCCTTTCGTCCTTCTAAAGAAGCAGCAGCTGCCTTTGGATCCCCGCTTTGTCCACGGTGAAGGCACCCCCACGTCCACCCGCACTCAACAAGCCCTCCAAACACACACACACTGTTTACTCCACCACAGATACACCGGGCGTGGAGGCCACCTGCCAGAACTAGAAAAGAGCCCAGAAAACGACCAGTCTTTGTAATTGTGCTCGTCTTTTGAAACAAACCATTCAGCAGGTCATACTCGCAAGTTTACCCTTAATTGAAAGAAGCCAAATGCTGAGGCTGAATGGGGCCTTGGGAGTGTGTGTGTGTCAGCAGGTACAACGGCTAAAACATCCCATAAGTCCATGCAGCCTTCGGACACACGTCTACTGAGCCGCACCGGCGTTGAGGTGAAAATTGAGACTTTTGATGACTTTTTTGCTTCTGCTGCCATAAGCTGCGAGAGGAGCTTGTTCTGATTTCCAACACAAAGCACTCCGCGGCTCCATTCTTTCCTTTTTGTTGCCATATGGCAAATCCATGTAGACATAGCCAAGACCTATTCAGTCAGCCGCAGAATGTCCTGCATCAGAGAACAAAAGACACTTTGTCTGGCTCCTCTATTGATACGAATGGGGGGGGAATTATAATTAATCTATGGCTATATCCAGCTAATTAACGCCCATATGCCCCACGGGGGGGCTGAGAGAGCATTCAGCTCAGTTTTAGGTTCTCAATAGTTTACATGTTAAAGACAACAGCTGTTTATGTGTTACTTTAATGAAGTCTCTGCTGTGTTGGAAGACTGGACACATTCGGGGGGCTCCAGACCCCCGCAGCGATGACATGGGACATCTTCCCCCTGTTTGACTCTGCAGCTGTGTAACTATATAAAACTTGTCCCAGTAAACAGAATCTTAAAGTCGTCCTTGTGTATTTAAGAGCGGCTGAATTTGAGCCATTCGGGGAAAGTTCAAAGGTTAAGGCCTGAAAATAAACTGGGTAAGCTTCTCTTTAGACTGAACAAATGAGCCCTGGGCCCTTTCTAACCGTCCCTGGTTGAAGCAGGGAAACGGCCTCGTGAGCAGCACTTGGGCATGGCCTGGTGTAAGTTTGACGGACATAAAGGAAGAAGATGACAGTGAACATACAGACCTAGTTAGACACGTCTTCTACATTAGAAAATCTTTCAACCAGCAGCCGCTGGTGGAGCGAACCGCCTCATGGGCCCCGTCTGACCTTTAGCTTACATCCAGCTTCAGTTGTTTCAGACATAAGACGTTGCTGCTTTAGTCCTAAATTTGGTTTCACCGGGCCACCGTAGCTCACGTGTTAGCCGATGGTTACAATGAAAAAGAATAAATAAATAGAGGTAAAGTAATAATGATAACGATGAGTGTATTCTAGCAATAGTAACAGTTTGTTTTATAAACAGCTGACCACATCAGCTTAATTTAAAGTGATCACCAATAAACTAAGATCAAACATGAAAACAAATGAGGAGTTCATTTGCAAAACAGATCAGTATCACCAAACTTATTTTGGACTGAAATTACATGAAGAAAAAAAAATGCATTTTGGATAAAAAGAAAATTCAAAACAGAATAATCTTTATTTGCACCGTTCAGATATTTATTTATTTTTGTTCCTGTGAAGCTCCTCGAGATTTTTATTTTTAGAGGCGCTTTATAAAAATAGTTTCTTCTTTAAAACAGATTAAAAATAACAAAATATCACGGTGCACAAGAATTAATAATGAAATTTTATTGTTTGTCTGCCTGATGACGACAAAAAAGATGTGTTAAAATGTTTTTCTTCATGCCTTCATCACAAATTCAGACGCAGCTTCAAAGGGTTCACATCATTTGCTATTCCTGTGAATTCGTTTTGAATTTAGTTTGAAAGCAAACAAAAGTTTTTTTTTTTTTGAAGTTTTAAATTCAATTTCCAAAAAGGGAAATATTGGATTTGAGTTAGATGCAGCAGATCCATGTTTAGTTCAGTTATTGGGGGGTAAAACAAATGATTCTCTTCTCCGTCGACTGAGAGGCGCCAGGAGACCCCTTCCCCCGTTCTGTCCATATAACAACCTGAAACACGATTTAGGAGAAACCATTTTTTACTGGAAACGCGTTAATTAACAGAGCCGTGTGCAAAGATCGCAATTAAAATATAGAAGTGGAAGGAAAAATCATCCTGAACAAGGAGGGGAGAATTAGCATTTTCCATGACCATCTGGCATCAGCGCAGGCGATGGGGAACAAAGGCGGGCTGGATGGAGAGGAGAGGCGAGTGTGCCATCGCATTGACCTGCAAATGAGGCTTTGTCACTGAGTTAAAGCTCCCTGACCCCCTCTACACCCCCAACATCTCCCTAAAAGTCTCCTCTATCTTTAAAACCTACATCTGCAACACGACTCGGGGTATTCCAGAGCTACAGAGAAATAAAACGATATTCTGGAATCGGATCAATCTACTGCAAGCTTTAAAATCCTAACATGTTGTAAAGTTTAGTAAATGTTCCTTTACTGTTCCTTTAGGCTCAGGCCTCCTGTGGAAGCAAAAGTCTGCACGACACCTGTGTGATGCTTCTCTGAGGAAATCATATTTTAAATAAATAAACAAATATAAAATGTTTAAAAAGGCAGCATTTTAAATTAATTCTTTGGATATGGCATGAGCGGGTGGTGGTGCTGGACACCTGTCCCTCCTCTAAGGGTTATGAATGAGGACGAGTGTTTGCAGACGGAGACGCTTTTCAGTGAAATACATGCGTGCACACAAGTGTTTTTGCACAATGAAACAAAGTTAACATTTAAGAGCAGAATGGTAATGAATCCCATTCTAAAGTGTGGCTACTGAAATGTGTTTGCACTAATATCTGGTTTAAATGATAACAAACCTTTAACGAAAGCATGTTTCCTAAATAAATGAACTAGTACATCAAAGTTGTCCAAGTTTCATCTCATTTCAAACTGAAACTTGAAGTGAAACTGAACCGAACCCCGAAGGTCATGTTCCCTTTAGTTTGGTAGCTGATGCAGACGAGCGTCTGTGTTTTCCTTCTCCTCTCCTGACTCCTTTCCCTTTACATCCACTCAGTATTCATGCCTGTAGATAACAAAGAGCATGACTCAATCCACGCAGGAGGCGGTGTGACAGCGAACTCGTGGCGGCTTTTCAGATATCCTCTTTCTGCATCCCCCCCCCCCCCCCCTCATTCTTTGCGTCTTTACTTTGGTCTCGGTTGGAGTAGGAAGGAGGTGAGGGGGCGCCAATCAGCCCGCCGCCTCAAACTCTAATTCACTTTTCTCGCCCCATGCATCAAGGGGATCGGATTTGATGCTACATGGAAGAAAAAGGCAGAGCCTTTACAAAGTTTCCCAACGTGATGGAGCGGGTGGTTTTTGGAGACCAGCCTGCAGCAGTGCAAAGAAAACAGCCCAGTGTAATGGACCTAATCTTTTTGGACAATCATTAGAGTCGATCTTTTACAGTTAATCCCATCTGGATTAATGACAGAGAGTTGTTACAAGTTTATCCTCTGCAGAAGGTTTGTTTATTATGGTGTAGGACATCGTTAAGCTTTGTCTGAATGTGAAACAGAACCAAGGACAGAGGTAAGAAGAGAGGAGGGGGCCTGATTGTGTCTGGTTATGATAGACAGTGTTGGGCAAGTTACTTCAAAACTGTAATGCATTATGTATTACTTGTTACCCTCATTTTAAAGTAATTCATTACATTACAATATTACTGATTTTAAAAGGTAAGGCATTACACTACTTTTGCATTACTTTAAGTTACTTTCACCAAAACAACTTCAATGTGAATCTGGTCATGTGACGCTCAGTGAGCTCATGACATATATGTGGAAGGTGATGTGGTGTCTGAGCTAGGATTGCTGTTAAAACAGTCAGATATAATAACAGTGCTTTAAAATGATTGTTTATTAAATAAAAACAACAACAATCTGTACTCTCAGCACGCTGCCATCTTAGATTAACTGAGCAGGAAGTGAGGTGGTGGGGGCTCCAAGCCTATGCTTGCCTTGGTCCCCAAATGCCTTGATACGGCCCTGGATGCGGGACTGACTTCTGGGGTGATCTGATTCTATCACATGTATAAATATTAAATGCTTATATATTATTGCTTTTCACTGGTAAAAATGTGTATTGGGGATAAATCTACCTACATTTTTCTTTTCAAGCACTTTCTTTTGTTTTCTTGATTTTATTTGAATCATTTCCTGCCCTTTCTCTCTCTAACCTGCATGCTGCATGTTTTCTCCGTCTTCCAGAAAAAACTGTTTCCTAGACTTCCTACTTTCTATCAGCCAAAGGGATCTTCACATGCGCGGCGCTCCAGTAGTAATGAGTTGAAATCACCGGGGCACAGATTATGAACTCAGCTGAGGCAAAGGACGTCAGAACAGCACAAAATACCAGAGAATATGCGCTGATATGAACGATCGCAAGTAAATTATTTTGTTTTAGTGGAGCGATTTTGTGAATGTTACAGCGGCCGCGTGCAGGAGCAGCAGGAGTATTTGAGCCGTTACCGCGGCGTCCTCTCTGCCCGCAAAGCTGAGTCCATAAATGACGTCATATATGCAGATACTGGATCTTTCTTCGGGTTTCCCGCAATTTGAATTTTTAAGGAACACATCTTGTTTCTGGGTTTAAAAATGCATTGTAATTACCGCGTTACTGACAATTGTACCGAGTAAATATTACTATTTTCTTTCCCTGTAATGCCTTACATTACCACATTACAGCAAAAAGCAATGCATTACAGCATGGACGTCACTAGGATTGAGATAAAGGGGGGGC